CCTTCAATTATAAGATTACCATTATTTAATGTGCAGCGGAAATATAAAAAAAAACTACCTAAAAAATACTGTCCCTGCTTTCATTACTTATGATGGGACTATTTCTCAAAGGAGACGAGAATGTAGAAAGTATTGCTGGTACAGTTACCGAAGTTATCCACTGGGGGTGAAGTGTTAATCTTTTAGGAATATAGAAAATATTTTTTTATACCTAACAACTTAATATTTATTTATTGATAAGTTATAGATACTATGTATTTGAAATTCTAAGTAATCATTATGACACAGCAGTGTTGTTCTTATTGTATTCGGATTCTAACACAAATGAAACATCTTTTTGTAAAAATTATTAATTTTACATTAGAAAGAAAATTAACAATACACACAAAATTATTTAAAATTAGAAATAAATACAATTTACACACTTCATTATTTCACTTTTACTTACTTAATTTATTCATTTCTTTTATTAACAATTTAAATAATATAGTTCATTATTTAATTGGAACTCATTTTATAATTTTACTAATTTTTCTTTTATATTTATTTGTGGAAAATGATAGATAAAAGCATAGGAAATGTTCTATTACATAATAGCAGTAATGAAAAAATGAGTAGGAAAATTTCAAATGTATAGTTTTCAGATTTATTATGAGTTTTTCATAATAATGTACTCAATAAGTAGGTTTATTATGTTCGCTTGTACACATCACAGTTACCAGCAGACAGTAACAAACCTGACAACACTCCCGATTTTAGAAAAACAGTAAAACAATTTGCTTTACATTATATATTTCAACAATGTAATATAATAATCATTTATATTTAATTAATGACAAGGTTTACTTTTTAAATAAAACTATATGAGCCCTGTCCCGTTTCAATTAGCACACTTCTCAAATTTTTAGTGACTGACACTACAAGAACAAAGCATACATAAATCTGATAAATTCTTTTATTTTTTTTAACCCTTTCAGTTCCACTTTCATTAAAAAAATACCATTGTAGTAGATCTATCCTCTAGGTACACCATTTTTTACAGCATTAAATGGACGAATTTTGTATTTTTAGTTTAATAGTTTTCAAAATTGTATGTTTTCTTTGTTTATTTTAAGTAAATTAAAATATTTTCATAGTATTTTTTATTACTCCAAGACATAATGAACCTGGTCAGGTACATTACAAAACAAAAATTTACTATGAAAATAATGTTTTTATAATATTAATCCATAAAAGTAATGCAAATAAAGTAAATAAACCAAAAAGAAAAAAATTTCTACCAAAATTAACAGATGTATACTTTAGGGTTAATTAAGACAGTGTCCCTCTGGAGGGACAAATACTGAAAGAGTTAAATATATACAAATTTTCACCAGTGCTTCATCACCTTTAACTTTGATAACGGCAATAATTCATTAAAACATTGTATTTACAAGTTCTTTTAAAATCTTGTGGAGGGAACCCACTCCATATTTCTAGATTATTCATTTGCTTTAATTCTGGCACTGATCTTGTGTGTGTTGCACGCCTCTGCTTAAAAATTATCACCCCGTATACAAAAAAGCATCTTTATTAAATGAACAAAAAACTAAAAAAAATAAGCATTATTAAAAACTACAAAAATTGAATCATTTGAAAATCTATATTCAAGCTCCAGATTTGTAAAATTTAAAAAATTCCAAATACACACTTTACTAGTTCGATTATTTATTGAATAAAAGGTCTGTTCCAACAACGATCAGAAACAAATCACTTGGTAGTACACAATTTTGCGGTCTCAATAATCTACTGTGCAGAATTCTAATGTTGGTAACTCATTTCTGAGCATTGTTGGAACAGATCTAAAGTAAATCAAAACCACTTAAAAACAAGTGCAACATTTAAACTCTAGCATAATTTTTAATTCCTATCAAAATTTTTAATTACTAGATATTTTGTTCTAGGTATATTAAAATTTAAAAGTTCTTACTCTTCATTATAATTATATTTTTTATTTTCCCTATACCATCTAACATTTTACAAATTTGATGCCTAATTAAAGATTTCATTTGCAGAACTTTTCATCAAGAATATTGTTTCTGTAAAACGTTTTTCACATTTGTATAAATCTTCTACATCTCTCACATTAGAATAACAAGATTGTATCTAGAAAGGCAGTTATTTTTTTGGAAATCATAGTTGAAGTTTGTATAGCTAATACCTTGTTTGATTTTCATTGTGTTTCTAACTCTAATTTAAGAGAAAATCCTATGTGCTAAAAATGCAGAAAGATCTAAGCCACCTACATTTTTTAGAATATTTGATA